CTAATTAAAATCATGTCAACGAAAATTAGCCAACTTGTCAAGGACAACCTACAGTTTCTCAAACAGCTCGCAAAAACGCGCTCAATTACTAAAAGAAAATACATTTTAAGAAAAGCATCAATCGACCAATTACTTTCTCTCACTGAAATTTGCTACAATATTGTGCGTGATCAATTTAAATTAACTAAGAGACAAAAATCTCGTCTTCTACCATTCGCTGATTTTGTTCGTCGTGTGAGTAGGCTAAAAACAGAAAGAGGAGCCCGACGTACAGTAATACAACAAGGAACTGGTTTACCAATTGGATTGTTCCCTGCCCTTTTAACCCCAATCATTATCGAATTAACAAAAATTTTAACAAGCAATTGATAAAAATGGCAAATAAATTTATATTAATTCCTGAGGATATATATCGTGGACTACTTACTCACCCCATACCAGAAACTGGAAATATCAACTTGGATTTTACACGAGAAAATTTGGAAAATATCAAAAGTCAAAATGCCAACACAGAATTGAAGAATATAAATTATAATCAGGAATTGAGACGTTATCTACATATGTTGAAGGATCAGAATGAGAGACCAATGAATGTTTCAGTAAGGCAAATGGAAGATCCAGCCCTGGAGCAAATTAAAAAATTGCTTCCCCTACTCCAATCAAACTTCAATGAAAGTAATCAACAAGTACTTAAACAAAATATACCCACACCAAAATTGTCCCCGTTAAATGAAGGTGGAGATTTAAACGAAGATGATCTTAGTATGCATACGGCTGGGGAGGAATCTCCGGATTCCAAGAGGAAAATGGAACCAAAGAAGTCAACAATAAGAGAAAAGACAGAGGAAATTTTTGAAAATATGAAACAGGAAAATCTAGATAAATATGATGTGAGCACAGATGGAAAAATTTTAAGTAAGAAGGGAGGCAAAGAAATACAGGGAAGCAATGCACAGAAATCCATAGAGTGCATACTCCGAACAGGAATCACTGGGAAATTGAGATGGGGAGAGTTGACACCACCGGGGACAACAGTTTTAGAAAATAAGTTAAAGAGTGATAACAAAATTTGGCCATTGATAGAGAAGGCACGAGAAAGTTGTACACCAAAAAGAACATATACAAAGCAAAAAAGAAAAATACCTGAATCCAAAGAAATAGCTGAATCAAAATGGAGACTCCCAACAGAGTGGAAATGATATTAGATAAACTTTACAATGATCCAGCGAATCCGGCAGGATTTGCTGGTGTAAACCAGTTATGGACAGAGGCTAGAAAAAAAGATGCAGGTATTAAGAAGAAGGAAGTTGAGGAATATTTGGAAGGCCACAGAACTTACACAATTCACCGCCCTAGGCGCGTGCACTTCAAAAGATCAATAACAACCCCATCTGGCTATATGACAGACGTTCAGTGCGACTTGGCAGATTTCCAAAAATTATCACGGCAAAACAACGGGAAAAATTATGCGCTTGTGGCAATCGATGTGTTAAGCAAAAGAGTTTTCGCTGAACCTGTTCGCACTAAAAAGTCAAATGATATGATTGATGCATTTGAAAAAATTTTGGCAAGAATGGAAATGCACCCACACCGTATTTTTAGTGATAAGGGAACTGAATTTTGCAGCAAGGAAATTATTGCATTTTTCAGAGAAAAAGATATTGAAAAATACACGGCAACTTTTTCATCAGTTAAAGCGTCACTAGCTGAACGATGTATTCGAAACATTAAACAGAGACTGTACAGATTTATGAGTGAGAAGCATACATTAAAATGGACTGAGGCATTACCGAAAATAGTTGACGCAATAAATCATTCAAAGTGTAGGGTTTTAGGTGGATTAAGACCGGTTGATGTAAACTTTAACAATGCAAAGGAAATTAGAGAAATGGTATTTGGTCCTATTGGGAAGAATAAACCTAGAAAAAACCCACGATTTAAGGAAAATGATCATGTACGTATGAGCAGAAGCAAAAATATTTTTTCAAAGGGTTATCTCCCTAATTATAGCGATGAAATTCTTCAAATAGATCTTGTCAAAAAGAAGGCTAACCCCAACAGATACCGTATCCGTGACGATAATGGGGAAGTATTTAAAGGATATTTCTATCCTGAGGAATTAACCAGAGTGAGGAAGGATGAGAATACCAGCTACAGAATTGAGAAGGTTATTAAGAGCAGAAAGAAAAAAGATGGAGGGAAAGAATTTTTTGTTAAATTTTTTGATTACCCCCAACCCCAGTGGATAGACGAAAACCAGTTTGTATAAAAGCCCAATTTTTTCATTCCCATAAATCATTTTTAATTATTTTTTCACTTTAATTGTTCAATTTATTATTATCTTTAAAATAAATAATGGCTAATACATTCTTTGTTGTTCTTCCTAGTAATGTTAGTGATTACCCAGATAATAAACCCAATAAATATCGAGTGCATCTTCCGAAACCAATAGAGTTTCAAGGTGGAAACTGGGTATGTGGACTCTACAGTATCCAATACCCGCAATCATGGGCTGCAACTATTGGCACCGACGTTAAACAATGGATCGAAATTAATTACAAAAATAAGAAACCACACAAAATTGGAATCCCCAAAACAACACAGCTAACACCCAACGGACTCAGCTTCTTTTTAAAACTTGTATTATCCAATAAAGAGAAACCTAGGAAAAGACGCGATGTATCAATCGATACTTTGGAAGATGAAGTTATCATTGACCCAGAAATTAATTTAGTAGTAGAGCCAGCTAAGAAACGAAGAAAGAGAGAGGCAGATAAAGTAGATACTGTGCCATTATGGGTAAAGGAATTTTTTAATCAGTATCCTCACAATTACTGGGAAGCCATACGCGATTATGAACAAGAATTAGAACAACATAAATCTGATGTAGAGGAAAAAACAAAACAAGTTCTTAATGAGAAGGATGATACACATAAGGGAGAATTACAGCAAGAACTTGATCACCTACATTCCCTTTCAGAAGGTAAAAAGAAGGAAATTCGTCTCTTAACAGAGGAAGCTAATAAGAGGGATAGGCGTGATGATGGACTAATAGCAAACCAGTTTTTGGAACAACACCCAGATGATTATCACGAGGAAGTAATAAAGATGGAAATAAATATAATAGTAAGATACATTGAACTAGAAGACAAAATTAGAGAAAGCAGGGAAGAGGGGGTTAAGAATGCTCGTTCTGGTGATGAGATTCAGAGGTTTATTAATTCAATAAAACGTATGCGTAAGAATTTGGAAGCATTGGAATCTGCTATTATTGAAAGAGACTTGCAAATTACTAGAGATGAATTTCATCAGCAAAATTCAAATACACACTCAGAATTTGTCCAGAAATTTTTCGAGGACCACCCTGTAGATCATTGGACAGCGTTAAAGAAAAATTTAGGTGATCTACAGGAATTACATAGACAAATCCGAGAAAAACGAGATGCCCATTCACAAGAACAAAATGAGGAAGAAAAGAATAGACTGGGGAAGGAAATTGATCAATTAAATAAATTGGCTTCCTACAGAAGAAATAGATTTACAGCAATACACCATGCTGCCTACAAGAAATGGAAAAATTTTGAGCTGCCAATTCCCCCAACTAGAAATGAAATTAAGGAGATGCAAAAAATTGAAGAGAGAACTCATCCAGAATATTTGGAAGATGCCCAAAAAACAGATGATCAAGGCAAACCAGTGCCCATTCCTGCGCCCGTAATTACGGATGAAATGGTGGAAGTTGTCAAGGACAGACACGGGTATGAGCAGGACAAGGCCAGAGAGTCAGCGGAAAATGAACGAAAAGATAGAGAACTGAAAGAAAGCAAGGAGCAATTAAAGCATGCAAGAAGAATAGATAAATATGGAGAACCTATACCCCTTGAGCAACCAATAGATGAAGAGCAAGATACAGTACCTGATGAGGAAAGTTTCGAAGAAGAAGAAAGGTGGGAGGAGAAAGGTAGGAAAAGCCCTGTTTTAGATTTGGATTCCTCAGAAGAGATTATACCAACAGAAGAGATATTTGATGCGCAAAAGGAGGAGAAAAATACTGACGATCTGATAAATGAGAAGACAGTTACTTTGATTGAAGAAAAGGAATCTAAAGCAAAAGATTTACATTCTGACATTGAATTTGAATATTTGGACAGTATTGATCGCTTTAGGGTGGTTTTTAATGATCCTGAGATTAGAAATATTGTTATCTCTTCACAACTATGTTATGTTCTCGGTTTCCCCATGGGGCCATTGGTAAATGGACAAATTGGAAAATATGGAATTGATCTCAAAGGAGGGTTTACAAGCTTTGCTGTATATTCAAAGGGGTTAACGAACACTGTAATAATGGGTAATTCTGTCAGTTCATTACTCAGAATTGTGGCTGTTGAGAATAGGTCTGGAGGTGTTGTAGAAAGAGTGTATGATCAACCAATGTTCATACCTGTGTTACCCAGAGAGATAAACGAGGTTGAAATTGAACTAAGATGGATGAACGGAAGTCTTGTTAAATTTGATCATGGAACTGTAATTATTACCCTAATGTTTAACAGAATGTTAAGATTTTAATTTAAAACTTTTTTAAAATTGTCAAATTTTATTATATATTTTTTATCATTTTGATAATAAAGGAAAAAACAAATTCGTCTGTGTTTGAATGTTTAAATAATAGGGAAAGGAATTTTTTATATGAGTATCCAGATGAAATAAAATAAATAAAGGTGATACAGTGTTGTCCACAAGTGGGTAAAAGAGGGTTTTGAACGGGAACATTATTCATTACACGGTTTGGAAATTTGGAAATAAAATTTTTTATTGAAATTGGAGGCTCGGGGAGTAGTAATGAATCAAAAATTAATATTTTCTCGGGGTTAATTATAAAAAATGCAATCCAATGTGATCCTCTTTGAGTAGCTTTTTCAAGGTTGACGACCAATGAGCACGGGTATTCTCGAAATTCTTGTGGAATTTTATCTGCGGCAAAGCATCCTATAAAATATCTACTAGTTATTCTGTTGTGTAATAAGATTTTGTCGATTTGTAAAGTGTCCATTTTCGTCAAAGAGGTGGAGGTTTGAATCTTTTCTTTGAATCTCTCCAAGTTCAATGTCTTTGCTGTTGCCTTTAATCTTTATAAATTTTCTCAGTTGATAGGTCAATGCTGTTGCTAGCAATAAAAGCCAGAGTGCAATTAATGTATAACAGTAAATAGTCTGAGCAATTGATGTTTCTGATGAAGGAAATTCCTTGCAAGGAGAGGGAAATTGAACATTCTCCACGTGTTCCATTGACCAAAAATCCAAGATTGTAATATTTTTCTCAGGGTTAAAGTTAGATGCTAGTCCAATACTATTTTGTACTCTTTGTGGGATTATTGGGGATTTTGTCGAAGACGAATTAATCATTTGTTCTGGTTTAGGAATTATTGTATTAGCGTAATAGCCTATACGTTCTCTTAATTTTTCTCTATATTCTGGATGTTCATCCTCGTTAGACATAGAATATTGTTGTGTAAATTTATACAGGAAGAAAAATAAAATGAAACAAACAAAGCAAAATTCAATTTTTATAGTAATGTGGCACATTTTTAAAATGAAATGGGAGAATGAAAAAATAAGGAAAATTGAGGGTATTTATACTGAAATATCTGTAGAAATAGTTCTGTTCCTATCTAACATTAGCAGCGAATCGATTTCGCCCATGGCTACTAGTACAATCCCACCACTAGGAACAGGTTCGTTGAAGGTCATCCGAATACTTGTTGTACCATTCTTTATTAAATCAAACATCTCTGGCCCATTATCTTCCTGGCTATTTGTGAGGTTAAATACGAAGAAGCAATATCCTGCATATGCATAACGAAACATTGATATACCGTTACTTTCTAGTGATCCCGCGTACCCTATTGCTTCTTGCATGTCATGATAAATTCTGGCATAGTTTCCTTTCGGAAAATCAAGGGAATAAGGGGCTGCTGGAAAAGTCACTCCCCCAGCAGTAATGGAAATATCTCTCAAATTAAAGTGTTGAAAATAAAATGGAGTTGTTTTTTGTCGTCCTACAAAATCTTTATTATCAACCATTCCCAGTATAATTCTTCGAGGCACCTGATCCATCCATAGGTTAGCATTAAATTCAGTTCTATTTTCGCTGATGAATAAAGATTTCAGAGATGTTTTTCTTATCGGGTATCTCGCGGGCTTTATTTCAAGTTTTTTTGAAATATCAAAGGCTAGGCTGTCCATCAACTCAATCTTCTTTACATATAATTTACAAGCCAGAATTTCTAGATGATATTTTGGGGCAGTGTCCCAGGGCGCACTAAGCAGGAAACTTGATTCATTTGGTAGTAGTTCAATATCAACTTCACACTGGTTTACTAAATATCTTGGTTGATTACAAATATCAACATCCAGTTTGGCCATAAATTGTGCAGTACGCGGATTTCCATCTTCGTCTAAGAATAATCTTTTCCTTGATTTAACTCCATATCCATTAGAATCAACACCTGGGTATGTTTGTGTGGCTCCATCATCATAATACCCCGCCACAGAAAGATAAGAGTTCTTCACACTTTGTGGGTAGGTTAGTTCGTAGTCAAAAATACTTTTGTATGCCATGAGGGAGTTTCCTTCAAAAACCTGAGTTCCATTAATATGCATACGGCAATTTTTCCAAATTGTATGACCTATAAGTTGCACTGCTGATACATTATCATCCCTTCCTATATCAACAAGTTTCCCATCCTTGTCTTCTTTTTTAATCCTAAGTTCAGTGAAAACATAAGTTTTAGCCAGATCAATATAATTTGTAGTCGCATGAATTTTGAAATGAAAGGGGGTGATATTCACAGGGTTGAGTGTGAGTAATTCAATAAATGAGGAGTTGCTAATACTGACATTTGTGTGGGGAGTTTCGAAAAATGATAAAGCGTTTGTTATTGCGTTGCCAGAATCGCGATCAATTTTCTGATGAGTAGGCATTTTTATTTAATAAAGACCGAATGTGTCTATTTTTTGACGCTTCTTTTTTGGGGTAAGAGATGGAGGTCTTCCAATTATGAGTTGATGACTATTTTCTTTTGAAAATGATGAATGGGGTTTACGTTTTCTTTTGAGTCCTTTTATACTAGCTCTGGCTCGCAATCCGGTTCCAAATTGTTTTGGCAATCCTCCTTTCTCGAGTAATCTGTCCAACCCACGTTTTCCTTCACTTATTACTGTCTGCTTAAAATTTGGATTAGAATCTTCTTTGCCGTACTCTGGATTCCCCACACTTTCTAAAATTCTTCCACCTGTATCCAATGCCTCCTTTGCTACAGCTGTACCCGCACGTTTTGCATACGGTAGGAGGAAACGCCAAAAATTTCTGAGTACATCTCCGACTCCACCACCCGCTTGTCTCCCGTATCCACGTTGATAAGGATTTAGTCCACGAAAATAGTAATAGTTTTCATCTGCGCCTTGTCCTACTTGGCTGATAGATATATGATGGTCGTCGTAACCGATTGTCCTTGGGTCAAAGGCTATATGAACCATGTTTGGGTTGGTTTGGAATGTTATGTAATATTAATTTAAGTGATCTATTGTAGTTATCTTTAGAGATAATAGTAAGAAGTTAGATAATTGAAAGAAATATAAATTAATTGAAGGGGTTTAACTTTTTATGTTTTTAGATGAAGAATAAATCTAAAAGTTGACGTTTTGTGGAGTGGCATTTTGTCGTTGTGGCATTTTGTCGTTTTAACATTTCGAAATTTGATATTTCGAAATAATTGGTTAACTTCCCCTTAAATGGACTTCCGCCCTTTTTTGCAAATCATTTTAATATTTTTGTAAAATTTTGTAAATTTTTTCTCTCCCCATTTATTTTTATTTAATTAATTTATTTTTTATTAATTTTTATTATTTTTATTTCTACCGTACCCCGGACCCCTGCCCCCAACTTTTTTCAGTCCCAGACTGAAAATCCCTGACTCGAAAATTTCAGTCCCAGACTGAAATTCTCAAACTCGAAAATTTCAGTCCCAGACTGAAATTCCCAGCCCAAAATATTTCAGTCCCAGACTGAAATTCCATTCTACTACGAGAAGAATAATTTTTCCCGCAAATGACCTTGAGAGGGAAATCTTCCTCCTCCCCCTCCGCGGGCTGCGCCGATATTTCAGTCCCAGACTCATTAATCATCGATCAATTAGATAAGATCTTGAGAATTTGAAATAATTGGTTACCTCCCCCTTACATTTTGACTTCCACCATTTTTTGCAAATCATTTTAATTTTTTGTAAAATTTTGTAAATTTTATCTCTCCCTATTTTTTATTAAATTTATTTAATTTATTTTTTATTTAATTTATTTTTATTAATTTTACCGTATCCCGGACCCCAAAATATTTCAGTCCCAGACTGAAATCCAGGTTTCAGTCCCAGACTGAAATTCCAGGTTTCAGTCCCAGACTTTCAGTCTGGAGCTGAAACCTTGTACAGGTAATCAATATAATTAATCACCTGTCACTCATCAATCAAACACTTGTACCTTGTACAAGTACAAGGTACAAGTACCTTGTACTTGTACCTGTCAATCAAATCTCTAACCAACCCACACCCTTTGGTTTCCTTTGTTTACCGTTCACCCACCCAAATGTTGCACGTTGTGCAACATTTGGGTGGTTCCCAAATGTTGCACGTTGTGCAACATTTGGGTGGTATCGTGTCCTATCAATCAAAATTGACAACTCGGACAAATGGGATGAGTAATTGCCCCAAACCCCCTGGTTTCCCTTTGATCGTGCCGACAAACTCGGACAAATGGGATGAGTAATTGCCCCACACCCTTTGGTTTCCCTTGATCTTGCCGCCAAATTAATGAGGATGGGTCCGGGAAACCCCCTACACCCTTGGGTTTCCCTTTGATGTTTCAAAATTCCGCCTCCCATTTGTTGCACACCTGTGCAACAAATGGGGGGGGGGGGGGTAACTACTGATATACACAAGACAATTACTTTATTTATTTAATTAACATATATTTTAAATTACATCAAGTAGCGCTCTTTTACAATTTTCAATTTAATTAAACATCCTCCCTTTTCAGAACACTCAGAAATTAATAAGGAGGCGGCTTCTTGGTTGGTTTTTTAGGATAAGCATCAGCATTTATAGCAGGCACAAACACCATAGAGCAAGCAATCAAAAAAGCAACAAAAATTGCCATTAACTAAATAAATTTTTTTTGTTAATTTTTAAATTAAATTATTTACCTTCATTTTTAGTAGTAGAGAGTTATTAAAGTAGTTTTTAGTTAAAAGAGAGAGGAGAGAATGTTTTTGAATGATTTTAGTCACTAAAATTCAACAACTATTTATTCTATCCAATTTTGAATTTAATTTTCTTCCTTGTTTACGTGGCATACTTGATTGAAAAAATAATTATTTTGTCATAATATTTTCACAATATTTTTGATAATTATCGTGTTGTCAACATTTTATCAATTTCCTCAATTTTAAAAAAATTGAAGAAATTCTTCTTTAAAAAAATAAAATCAAAAGGAAAATAATGATGTAAGAATAAAAAATTGTTTGAATAATTTAAAAAAGTTTTGATTTTTGATGCTGCTTTATAATATTTTTAATTGTTGGAAACTTAAATATAAAATATGAATTACTAATATATTTTTAAAAATAAAAAATTTTTTGAAGACACGTAACAGGAAACCAAATTTCACCAAAATAATATAGGTAAACTGGCAACTTTTTTAAATAAAATCAAAACATCTAGTTTGGAAAATTAAGGAACTAAAAATAAAATAAAAAGGAAAACAATGATGCAAAAATAAAAATATTGTTTGAATAATTTAAAAAAAGTTTTTGACTTTTGATGCTGAATAATTTGAAAAAAATAAAATTTTATTTTAGATTAGTAAGAATATTTTTTTCTAAATTCTTTTTTAATTTTTAACTGTTGGATATTTCTAAAGGAAATAAATTTTTTGATAAATAAAAAAATAAAATAAATTTTATAATTACTGGATGTGTTTGTATATTAAAAACAACAATTGCATGACTAATATGTATAATAACAATTGTGTATGACAAAATAATTATTTTTTCAATCAAGTATGCCACGTAAACAAGGAAGAAAATTAAATTTAAATTAGAGTTGTAAGGTTTTTTGAAAAAACCAAGACCGAGGATCACCGACTGGAAAAACCGAGATCGAGGGGCCTTATTAATTTCCTCTATCACTATTGTTTTGCCACGTAAACAAGGAAGAAAATTACCTAAATTCAAAATT